GGCTTGCCGCGCCAAACAGCTGATTGGCGCGGCAAGCCTGGGAGGGAAGGGGGAGAAGCGGAGCTGCAGCGCGCTCATCGGAGGAGGCAGAACTGAGGTGAGCTGGGGCGAGGGGGTGGGGGGGGTCCCAGGGAGGGCCCAGCAAGTAACGGAGTGCGCAGACGAACTGCTCCCTGCTCATCTCCGCCTCCTCCCCTGAGCGTGCCGCCGCCGCTCCGCTTCTGTTCCGCTCCACCACCCCCCAACCTTCCAGGCTTGCTGGCCCAAACAGCTGATTGGAAAGGAGGGAGAAGCAGAGCGGCAGCGGCACGCTCAGGGAGGAGGCGGAGGCAGGGAGGAGGCGGAGGCAGAGCGGAGGTGAGCTGGGGCAGGGAGCGGTTCCTCTCCCTACCCTGATATAACGCGGCCTCACCTATAACACGGTGAGATTTTTTGGCTCCCGAAGACCGCATTATATCGGGGTAGAGGTGTATATTTGTGAATCTGGAGATCTGAACCTCCAATGCATAAGTTAACATCCTTACAAGTTTTGAGGCAGCAAGCCTCCATGATAGCACTTGCCACACCAAAAAACCCCCAAACCCGTAACTATTAAACTTCCTGACTATTAAATATAAATTCATATGCAGCCCTTTGTGGGTGGGGCTACTGCTATGAAGAAGGGAAATAAATTGAGAATGGCGTGATCATTCAGTCATCTCTTGTGCTTACTCTAGGACATGCCTCTGTTTAAATGCAAGTACCAAAATTAAATTTAAAAATTGGGTGGGGGCGTTGTCTTCAGCCCCAACAGCTATCCTGTCCCTTTCATAAATTAAGCCATTCATTCATACTATACACTGGGGTCGGCAACCTTTCAGAAGTGGTGTGCCAAGTCTTCATTTATTCACTCTGATTTAAGGTTGTGTGTGCCAGTAATACATTTTAATGTTTTTAGAAGGTCTCTTTCTATAAGTCTATAATATATAACTAAACTATTGTTGTATGTAAAGTAAATAAGGTTTTTAAAATGTTTAAGAAGCTTCATTTAAAATTAAATTAAAATGCAGAGCCCCCCGGACCGGTGGCCAGGACCCAGGCAGTGTGAGTGCCACTGAAAATCAGCTCACGTGCCGCCTTTGGCGCACGTACCATAGGTTGCCTACCCCTGCTCTACACTTACAAATGTGAACATTTTAAAGTAAGGCAGTTTTATCATTTGTACTTTTCCTATCCTCTTATGTGGATTTACTCCTCTTTTTTCCTCTACATACAAACAATAGCCTCCAAGGCATTTTGCACTGGCACAGCTACTTACAATCTTGAAGGAAACAAATGGTATTACTACAGGCTCCTCAGTTACTAGGGCACAGCCAATAAAAATTATACTTCCAGCAACAGACATGCTGGACCATATTCTGACCATTTATTTTACTGCACTACTGCTATGAAGTTGGGCTGATGAATCAGAACACAATCTTGGAATGTGAATGACATGACAGTATTTATTTCATACTGATTTGAATCCATGTACATGTACTGTCAACCACTCACTTACCAGCAAAGCCTCTCCCCCTGCCCTGAGGTGGTGGGACTGGCCCAAAGTGCCGAGGATACATAGAAGCTGGATAGAAAGGCATGGCAGGTGGAGGTGGGAAAGGGAGTGGATGATTCTGCCTGGAGAAATTTAATCCTTCTAGGATGCTCTGACGCATCTTTTCAACCTTGGCAGCCTGCTCAGCCTACAAGTAAACAAAAGTGCACAAATAAATGTTAAAATCTTGTATTTGTGCTATGCAACTTGTGTTTATCAACCTGACTGAGGGAATACTAAATGTAGACTGGTGTTGGGACACACCCATATTTCTTAATAAAGCTAGCTTTCAAGGGATAAATCACAATTTGCTATAGTGGGTAACAATCTACTATCCACATTTCACTGATTCACAAGAAATCCCCATATTCAAGTTAATATAGTAGTCTACAATCAATTTTCCAAGTGTCAGAAACAAATACAGCCAAATGGTAGTCTTACCAACTCTTTTCTCTCTAGAACACCCAGGAAGTCAAAAAAGGGGATGAGCATTTATTATACTATGCACTCTACTGCAGTATTTCCTCTTCTTAGAAAAGGAAATACTGAAGTAAAATTAACGACCATGAGCAGTCACTTGGTGATATTTTGTGATACTTGTACATTGTTTATTTTTTTTAAATCTGTTTTCTGTAAGAAATTAAGGGTTTTTGAGAGTAGGTGTTGTAAGCCCGACTTCACTCTTTTCAATTCTCTGTCAAATATATCAGGTACTGGATTTTGTTTGTTTGTAAAAGCAATGTTAGCATAGCCCTTTTTGACAGCATTGCCATCTTGATGCAAAACAAGATGCTACTGCTGAGAAGGAACAGAGATAGCTGCCAGCTCTCCTTGATTTGCTCATTACCTTGAGAATGTACAAGATTTCAATTTCCGGATATGTATCTTACATATGTACGCATAATAGTCTTTTGATCATTTGAATTCATGTACATCCTCAAAGTAACTAGTAAATCCTTGAGTCTGTTTACTGAGATTACAGGACAGAGGAAAAAAGAAGTCATTCTACTTCCTTCAAAGTCTATTAAAATGCCATTTCTCCCCAAGAGGAGCCCTAATAATTAAGATCCATTTCCCATCCCCAAAGATATCTATATTCCAGATAGAAAGACCACACTCTCTTAAATCAACAATAACTGCCAGATAAACTGCATTAGATACTAAAGAAAATTCAGAACATATGAAAAAACTGCATTTCAGAAACTACCTACCTGACCATCACAGAGGTCAATGAGAGGAACTTTCTCCCGGCTTGCTTTGATGAGCTTGGTCTGGAACAGTTTCCCATCAAAATACATCCATGGACAGCAGTGCTCCCATGGGATTGGCTGTCCACAAGCATCATTTGCAAAGAGTGCCATATCCACACCACTCATAAACAAAGCAGACAGCTGAATTCCTCGGGGATCCAGATTCTCAATCTTTAAGGAAAATGAAATTTCGGTTGAACATACGGAAAGTATCAGATAGAATTCTAAGTTATTAATTTATGCCAATTATTTTCATGTCTATTTTGAAAACAGAATTGTTAAGAGTCTGATTTTCAATAAGTGGACTTTTATTTGTGAGCAACTTTGTACACAAAACCACCTGTGTGTGCAGGTACTGGAGTCTACCACCTGTGCATCCAAAATTACAATGCTCAAGGAGGCTGGATTGTCACCCCTATAAAAATAAAGACACAAAGGCAATAAAACCTTTGATGCCATACAAACACAAACAAAGAAAGGAATTAAAATGACTAGATTTTTCAGTTATGGACCAGTGACAAATCTCACTACAAAGTCAGGGAGCCAATGAAAATTTAAAGGAAATCCTATGAATCACCTAGAAATTAACATTGTGTACTGCTGGGAATCTTTTACCTTTCTAACTATATATAGCAACTGTCTCTAGATCTAGGACGGAGGTAGGCAAACTACGGCCCGCGGACCCTTCTGTCCAGCCCCTGAGCTCCTGGCCCGGGAGGCTACCTCCCGGCCCCTCCCCTGCTGTTCCCCCTCCCCCACAGCCTGAGCTCCACCGCCGGCGCAATGCTCTGCGTAGTGGGGCTGCAAGCTTCTGGGGTAGTGCAGCTGCAGAGCCTGACGGCGACGGCGTGGCTGGCTCCAGCTGGGCAGCGTGGCTGTAGCGCCGCCAGCCACCAGTGCTCCAGGCAGCACGATAAGGGGGCCGGGAGCGGGGGGGTTGGACAGAGGGCAGGGGAGTTCGGGGGGGGGTGGGGTGGAAAGGGGGCGGGAGTGTGGATAGGGGTCGGGGCGGTCAGAGGGCGGGGAACGGGTTGAATGAGGGCAGGGGTCCTGGGGGGGCAGTCAGGAAAGAGAGGAGGGGTTGGATGGGGCGGCGGGGGACTGTCAGAGGCAGGGTTCCGGAGGCAGTTGGGACAGGGAGAAGGGGTGGTTGGATGGGGCAGGGGTCCCAGGGGGGCAGTCAGGAATGAGAGGAGGGGTTGG